TGGAGTGGTTACCAGCCCCTCGCACCCATTCAGAGCCCCCATTTGACCGCTGTTGTGGTTACAAACGCCATGAAGCGAAAGGCCAATCTAAGTTGGCCCTCCCCCATGGCACCACGAGGAGCTAGGCGGTTGTTTTTGCCGGGCTGTGTCTGTATGTGTGTGTACAGCCACACACATACAGACACGCACAGACACTCACAGACACTCACAGACACACACACAGACACAACAACAACAACAACAACCGCCATTCGCCACTAAGTGGTGGTGACGTGACCACGACGCTTGTGCCAGGCTATGTGCACATTGAGGCCACGTGAAGTGTCGAACGCCCGCGGGCAGGAGGTCACGGGGCAGACCCAGGTGCCACGGGTCGACTGACTGAGATGACTTGCTGATCCACCACCTGTGCCCCCTACTGTGCCAACCTGCTGTGCTTTAGCCACCCGGCGCTCCGCTCGTTGTTGTGAGCGTCGCTCCTCCACCCTCTGTTGTTATTGGAGTTGGAGGGCGACTGCCTCCAACTGCCCAGTAGCGTCCTTCACGAGCCTCCTCCACAGAGGCCGACCTTGACACCGCTGGTGCCGGTCATCGGCAAGTCCACTCAGCTCCACGTCCTCCCGTACCACATCACTCCATCTCTTCTCTAGCCCGTGCTGCACCCGTTTAGCCCCCTCGATCCGGCCGAACAAAAACTGTTTCGGCATGCGGTGGCTGGGCATGCGGGCTACATGACCCAGCCATCGCAGCCTTGCCCGCCGGAGGAGCTCACCGATGGGACCTTGCCCAGATCTTTCAAGGATTTGTGAGCTCCTCACACAATCCAGCCTGGTTAAACCCAGGATAGATCGTAGGCAGGCTAGCCTAAACGTTTCTAACCGGCGAAGATGTTCCATTAGGGGGGGTCCACGTTTCGCAAGCGTAGAGAAGGGAGGGAATGACCGTGGCCGAGAAGACCTGAAGCTTAGTGCGGAGCGACAGACCAGGTAGCTTCCACACAGCGTTACGCAACCGATGAAAAGATATTGGCGCTCGACTGATTCGGAGTGAGACCTCTGCTGTTAAACTGGAGCTGGTCATGAGCACACTGCCCAGGTATGGGAAACTCTCCACTCTCTCCACAACTGCCCCATCACCGATTGGGAGTTGTGGGGGTGGAGTGTCCGATGGTACAAAATACACATATACAGACACACACACATAAACACATATAAACACAGACACACACAGACACACAGCCACACACAGACACACACACACACAGATACACACAGATACACACACACACAGATACACACAGATACACACACACACAGATCCACACACAGACACACACCACACATAGATACACGCACAGACACACACAGCCAGACACACACAGACGCACACAAACATACAGACACACACACAGATACAGACTTCACAACCCAAGGCATCAACCACAGCGGCCAACAGCATCACCATCATGAGCAGCTCACAATGCAAATGTTAAATCTTGGTTTTTTTTTGGTGTTTAATATATTTCCGGTGCAAAATTACAACCGTTGTTCATATATATAGCAAAATATAATTCAAGCTGACAACAACATACGCCCCCTCCCCCCCTTCAACCCACCTAACCAATCAACAACATTTTAGAGTACAAAAAAAAATACATTCCTTCTCAGGATTATAACAGCGATGATAATAAAACAGCCCTCACTGCCACGGACGTAATGAAGATTGCGCAACATGTCTCTGGGCATCGCTCTGGAAGTTGGAATGTCGTGGGAGCCTCGACTGCAGCCCCACGGGGGTCCGGCCCCTTTATAAAGAAAATGCAAAAAAAAAATTCATGAAAAAATGAACATTAATCTGCCACTGCGCCTTTCCTTTTAGGACCACGCCCACTTCCTGGTTGGACCACGCCCACTTCCGGGTTGGACCACGCCCACTTCCGGGTTGGACCACGCCCCCCTTCCTGGTTCGGGCCACGCCCGCTTCCTGTTTGGGCCACGCCCGCTTATCGGTTGGGCCCTGCCCTGCCCCGTTTTTGTTTAGACTCCGCCCCCACCCACCCATTCTTCCTGTCAGTCAATAGGTGTGCGTAGTTATCAGTAGGGGCGTGTGTAGGATCAGTAGGGGCGTGTGTAGTATCAGTAGGGGTGTGTGTAGGATCAGTAGGGACATGTGTAGGATCAGTAGGGGCGTGTGTAGGATCAGTAGGGGTGTGAGTAGTATCAGTAGAGGTGTGTGTAGCATCAGTAGGGGCGTGTGTAGGATCAGTAGGGGTGTGTGTAGGATCAATAGGGACGTGTGTAGGATCAGCAGGGGTGTGAGTAGGATCAGTAGGGGTGTGTGTGGGATCAGTAGGGGCGTGTGTAGGATTAGTAGAGGTGTGTGTAGGATCAGTAGGGGCGTGAGTAGGATCAGTAGGGGCGTGTGTAGGATCAGTAGGGGCGTGTGTAGTATCAGTAGGGGTGTGTGTAGGATCAGTAGGGGTGTGAGTAGGATCAGTAGGGGTGTGTGTAGGATCAGTAGGGGTGTGAGTAGGATCAGTAGGGGTGTGTGTAGGATCAGTAGGGTGTGAATAGGGTCAGAAGGGGTGTGTGTGGGATCAATAGGAGCGTGTGTAGTATCAGTAGGGGCGTGTGTAGGATCAGTAGGGGTGTGTGTAGGATCAGTAGGGGTGTGAGTAGGATCAGTAGGGGTGTGTGTAGGATCAGTAGGGGTGTGAATAGGGTCAGAAGGGGTGTGTGTGGGATCAATAGGAGCGTGTGTAGTATCAGTAGGGGCGTGTGTAGTATCAGTAGAGGTGTGTGTAGGATTAGTAGGAGCGTGTGTAATATCAGTAGGGGCGTGTGTAAGATCAGTAGGGGTGTGAGTAGGATCAGTAGGGGTGTGAGTAGGATCAATAGGGACGTGTGTAGGATCAGCAGGGGTGTGAGTAGGATCAGTAGGGGTGTGTGTGGGATCAGTAGGGGCGTGTGTAGGATCAGTAGGGGCGTGTGTAGGATCAGTAGGGGTGTGAATATGATCAGTAGGGGTGTGTGTGGGATCAATAGGAGCGTGTGTAGTATCAGTAGGGGCGTGTGTAGTATCAGTAGAGGTGTGTGTAGGATTAGTAGGAGCGTGTGTAATATCAGTAGGGGCGTGTGTAAGATCAGTAGGGGTGTGAGTAGGATCAGTAGGGGTGTGAGTAGGATCAGTAGGGGCGTGTGTAGGATCAGTAGGGGCGTGTGTAGGATCAGTAGGGGTGTGAATATGATCAGTAGGGGTGTGTGTGGGATCAATAGGAGCGTGTGTAGTATCAGTAGGGGCGTGTGTAGTATCAGTAGAGGTGTGTGTAGGATTAGTAGGAGCGTGTGTAATATCAGTAGGGGCGTGTGTAAGCTCAGTAGGGGTGTGAGTAGGATCAGTAGGGGTGTGAGTAGGATCAGTAGGGGCGTGTGTAGGATCAGTAGGGGTGTGAATATGATCAGTAGGGGTGTGTGTGGGATCAATAGGAGCGTGTGTAGTATCAGTAGGGGCGTGTGTAGTATCAGTAGAGGTGTGTGTAGGATTAGTAGGAGCGTGTGTAGTATCAGTAGGGGCGTGTGTAGTATCAGTAGAGGTGTGTGTAGGATTAGGTGGGGTGTGTGTATGATCAGTAGGGGTGTGTGTAGGATCAGTAGGGGTGTGTAGGATCCATAGGGGTGTGTGTAGACCAGTGTGGGTGTGTGTAGGTTCAGTAGGGGTGTATGGGATCCAGGTTTTTATAGGGAACCATAGATTTGCATAGAGATCCATAGACTTACATAGAGACCCATAGACTTACATAGAGACCCATAGACTTGCATAGAGATCCATACACTTGCATAGCGATCCATAGACTTACATAGAGATCCATAGACTTGCATAGAGATCCATAGACTTGCATAGAGACCCACAGACTTACATAGAGACCCATAGACATGCATAGAGATCCATAGACTTGCATAGAGACCCATAGACTTACATAGAGATCCATAGACTTGCATAGAGACCCATAGACGTACACAGCAGAGATCCATAGACCCACACAGAGACTCACAGACTCACATATAGACCCACAGACTCACGCAGAGACCCATAGTCTCACAGAGACCCATAGACTCACACAGAGACCCACAGACTCACACAGAGACCCACAGACTCACACAGAGACCCACAGGCTCACACAGAGACCCGCAGACTCACACAGAGACCCACAGACTCATAGAGAGACACAGACTTACACAGAGACCCACAAACTCACACAGAAACCCACAGACTCACACAGAGACCCACAGACTCACACAGAGACCCACAGACTCACAGAGAGACCCACAGACTCACACAGAGACCCACAGACTCACACAGAGACCCACAGACTCACACAGAGTACCACAGGCTCACACAGAGAACCACAGACTCGAACAGAGTACCACAGGCTCACACAGAGACCCACAGACTCACACAGAGACCCACAGACTCACACAGAGAACCACAGACTTACACAGAGTACCGCAGACTCACACAGAGAACCACAGACTCACACAGAGAACCACAGACTCACACAGAGACCCACAGACTCACACAGAGAACCACAGACTCACACAGAGAACCACAGACTTACACAGAGTACCGCAGACTCACACAGAGAACCACAGACTCACACAGAGAACCACAGACTCACACAGAGACCCACAGACTCACACAGAGAACCACAGACTCACACAGAGAACCACAGACTTACACAGAGTACCACAGACTCACACAGAGACCCACAGACTCACACAGAGACCCACAGACTCACACAGAGACCCACAGACTCGCACAGAGACCCGAATTCGAACCGCGTTGTGTGATCGGCATCGCGCTCGCTGAAGGTGTTGATGCCTTCAGGGAAGTCGTGGACTCTGTATACGCAACTGCGCACAATTCTGTGAGTCGCTTATAACTGCTTTGCCGTTACTTATTGCCAATTATGGACTCAGACTATTGTCCTATCAAAGTGCGGACTACACCGAGCATGTTCTTGTTTCCTCTGATCGACAGAAAAGAGAGATAGCGAGAGGGAGAGAGAGATAGTGAGAGAGAGAGAGCGAGAGAGATAGTGAGAGAGATAGCGAGAGAGAGATAGAGAGATAGTGAGTGATAGAGAGAGATAGCGAGAGATAGTGAGTGATAGAGAGAGATAGCGAGCGAGAGAGATAGAGAGAGAGCGAGAGAGAGAGATAGAGTGAGAGAGATAGCGAGAGTGATAGCGAGTGAGAGAGATAGAGAGAGATAGAGAGATAGTGAGTGATAGAGAGAGATAGCGAGAGATAGTGAGTGATAGAGAGAGATAGCGAGCGAGAGAGATAGTGAGAGAGATAGTGAGAGAGATGGTGAGTGATAGAGAGAGAGAGATAGCGAGCGAGGGAGATAGAGAGAGAGCGAGAGAGAGATAGAGTGAGAGAGATAGCGAGAGTGATAGCGAGTGAGAGAGATAGAGAGAGATAGAGAGAGATAGAGAGAGATAGCGAGCGAGATAGTGAGCGAGATAGAGAGATAGAGAGAGATAGAGCGAGTGAGAGATAGAGTGAGATAGATAGTGAGCGAGAGATAGAGAGAGATAGTGAGATAGAGATAGCGAGCGAGAGATAGAGTGATAGCGAGAGAGAGAGCGAGAGAGAGATAGAGAGATACAGAGAGATAGCGAGAGAGATAGAGAGAGATAGTGAGAGAGAGAGCGAAAGAGATAGAGTGAGAGCGAGTGAGAGAGAGATAGAGAAAGAGGTAGATAGAGAGATAGCGAGCGAGAGAGAGAGCGAGAGAGAGATAGAGTGAGATAGAGTGAGATAGAGAGATAGCGAGAGAGATAGAGTGATAGCGAGAGAGATAGATAGAGAGAGATAGAGAGAGATAGTGAGAGAGAGAGCGAAAGAGATAGAGTGAGAGCGAGTGAGAGAGAGATAGAGAAAGAGATAGATAGAGAGATAGCGAGCGAGAGAGAGAGCGAGAGAGAGATAGAGTGAGATAGATAGATAGCGAGAGAGATAGAGTGATAGCGAGAGAGATAGATAGAGAGAGAGATATAGAGAGTGATAGCGAGAGAGAGAGATAGAGAGAGAGATAGAGAGAGTGATAGCGAGCGAGAGAGCGAGTTGATGGACAGCCCTTTTGGCGAACCGCGTGACCTGCCCCGAGCCGAAGCGGACACCTCCAAACGACCTCCGGGACCGCCCGCCTTCCCCTCAAGGTCCCCGGGAGGAAGTCCGCCTGTTGCCCCCACCCCTCGGCACTCATTGGACGGTCGTCGCTCTCAAGCCGGGACTCCGGAGACACCGCTGAGACCTCACGGTCCCCCTCCTCATCCTCCTCCTCATCCTCCTCCTCATCCTCCTGCTGCTGCTGCCTCCGCTCCATCGCGTCGCCTCGACGGCTGTCTTCCACCGCCTCCACCGCCTCCACCGCCTCCACCGCCTGCACCACTACCGCCACCACCACCACCACCACCACCTCCTCCACCTCAACCACCACCGCCTCCGCCTCCACATCCACCACCTCCACCGCCTGCACCACTACCGCCACCACCACCACCACCACCACCACCTCCTCCACCTCAACCACCACCGGCACCACCACCGCCTCCACCGCCTCCACCTCCACCGCCTCCACCACCGCCTCCGCCTCCACCACCTCCACCACTTCCTACGCCTGCACCACTACCGCCACCGCCGCCACCACCACCACCACCACCACCTCCTCCTCAACCACCATTACCACCAGCATCTCCTCCACCTCCTCCATCTTCTTCCACCTCGTCCTCCTCCACCTCGTCCTCCTCCACATCCCCCCGGTCCACCTCCTCCATCTCCTCATCCATTCGCCAACCGCTTCCTATCGCGTCGTCCGGCGGTGGACCCCCATCAACACCCACCACCACCGCCACCGCCTCCACCGCCACCTCCACCGCCTCCACCGCCTCCACCGCCTCCACCGCCTCCACCGCCGCCTCCACCGCCTCCACCGCCGCCGCCACCACCCGACGAGGCCCCGGGCAGCGTCACGTGGGGCAGCCTGCCCAGGAGGGCCCGCAGGGCGCCGAGCTCCAGGGCGAGGCGCTGGGTGCGTGCCCGCAGGCGCTCGTTGTCGGCCGCGAGCTCCACCACCCGGGCCGCCGTCTCGGCCGAGCGCAGCTTCGCCTTGTCCCGGCTCTTCCGCACCGCCACGTTGTTGCGCTCGCGACGGGCGCGGTAGTCGTCCGTCGACTTGTCCAGCGCCTTCTTGAGGGGCCTCCGCCTACCCTGGTGGTGCTGGTGGTGAGGCTGTGGTTGTGGTTGTTGTTGGTGGTGGTGGTGGTGTTCGGGGGGAGAAGATCGAGATGGCTGAGGTGGTTGTGGATGGGTCCCTTCGTGGTGGTGGTGGTGGTGGAGTTGTGAGTGATGAGGGTGGTGCTGCTGCTGGTGGTGGTGGTGGTGGTGCTCAGGTGGTTGGTGTTGATGATTCGGATGGTGGTGGTGCTGGTTATCAGCCTGCTGATGATGATGATGATAATTGTCTTCCTCTTCCTCCTCTTCTTCCAGTTCCTGCTGCTGATGATGTTGAAGCTGCTGCTGATGCTGCTGGTGATGCAGAAGCTGCTGCTGCTGCTGCTGATGCTGCTGATGATGATGTTGAAGCTGATGCTGATGATGGCTCAGAAGGAGAAGATGATGATGATGAACGTTCGGATGCATCGCGTTCCGCTCGGCGTTTTCCACCACCACCTGCTGCTGCTGCTGATGATGATGATGATGCTGTTGCTGCTGCTGCTGATGCTGCTGCTGCTGCTGATGATGATGCTGCTGCTGCTGCTGATGATGATGAAGATGTCCTCCGAGGTACAGAGGGCTGGGCACAGGGGTTGAGGGAGGCGTGGGATTTCCTTGAAACGGACTCGGGCCAAATCCTCCACCGCCACCACCACCACCACCACTACCGCCACCACCACCGCCACCACCGCCACCACCACCACCACCACCACTACCGCCACCACCACCGCCACCACCGCCACCACCACCACCACCACCACCGCCACCACCACCACCACCGCCACCGCCACCACCACCACCACCACCACCGCCACCGCCACCACCACCACCGCCACTGCCACCACCACCACCACCACCACTACCACCGCCACCACCACCGCCACCGCCACCACCACCGCCACCACCGCCACCGCCACCACCGCCACCACCACCGCCACCACCACCCTGATAGCTGGTGTCGGCAGCAAGTTTGTCGTCGCCCGTGGGTTCCTCTTTCACGGCCACGCGGACTTTGGGGTGGTACCGGACGGCCGTGTGATTGTGAACGCTGCCGATGAAGCCGCCACCACCGCTGCCGATGAAGCCGCCACCACCGCTGCCGATGAAGCCGCCGCTGCCGAGGCCGAAGTAGGGCTGAGGCGTGGAGATGCCGCAGCTCGTACGGTGTTGTGGACGGGACAGCGGCGACGATGAAGTCGTCGCCGGCGCCGGTGGTGGTGGTGGTGGTGGGGTCTGGTGATGTTCCGGGAAGTTCTGTCGGAAAGGGGGGGGGTTTGAGAGACAGAGAGAGAGGCAAGCGGCAACTCGTCAGGCCTGGGTGCTTTTTGTTGCGCATGGGTCAAAGGTTAAAGGTCGTATGCGGATCATAACCGATACCGCAGGTGAGGAACCTTTACATTCATTGATTTATGAGGATCGTTAAGACGAAATTTTTGACTGTTGCTGCTCACAATGCCATACGGGAAAGCCCGCAGGAGTCTGTCCCATTACGGTCAGAATGAACCGTGGCTTGGCATTCTGAGATGAATATCACTCAAGGCTCGCACTGTTAAGGAGACACTCAGGAGGTAGAGACATCTTTTTAAAATGTTGTACTCCTGATCTAGGTTAAAGATTTTAAGTCATACGTAGGTCATAATCGATACCATAGCCTTGAACCCAGGCTCTCAGTGTCTCCGACACGGCCATCGTGAACCCCCTGAGAGAGAGAGACACCCAGACCCAGGGCTTGAACCCAGGCTCTCAGTGTCTCCGACACGGCCATCGTGAACCCCCTGAGAGAGAGAGACACCCAGACCCAGGGCTCGAACCCAGGCTCTCAGTGTCTCTGACACGGCCATCGTGAACCCCCTGAGAGAGAGACACCCAGACCCAGGGCTTGAACCCAGGCCCTCAGTGTCTCTGACACGGCCATCGTGAACCCCCTGAGAGAGAGACACCCAGACCCAGGGCTTGAACCCAGGCCCTCAGTGCCTCCGACACGGCCATCGTGAACCCCCTGAGAGAGAGACACCCAGACCCAGGGCTTGAACCCAGGCCCTCAGTGTCTCTGACACGGCCATCGTGAACCCCCTGAGAGAGAGAGAGTCACCCAGACCCAGGGCTTGAACCCAGACTCTCAGTGTCTCCGACACGGCCATCGTGAACCCCCTGAGAGAGAGAGACACCCAGACCCAGGGCTCGAACCCAGGCTCTCAGTGTCTCTGACACGGCCATCGTGAACCCCCTGAGAGAGAGAGAGAGAGACCCAGGGCTTGAACCCAGGTCTTCGCCACTCACCACGCTAACCGCCTTGAGTCCGCCTGTCAAGAATCCTTCCTCGAGGAACTCGCCACCGAAAATATCTCCACCGCTGCCGCCGGCACCACCGGCACCGCCACCGCCGCCGCCGGCACCACCGCCCACCGCGGAGGGTTCAGGCGGTCCCCTCCCTAGCGGGCTGGGCTCGGTGATGTAGGCGGTGAGGTCGATGCAGTTTTCATAGCAATCTCCGAGGTCTTCGCCACCGGCACCACCGGCACCACCGGCACCGCCGGCACTGCCGGCACCGCCGGCACCGCCGGCACCGCCGGCGGCACGGGCGGCGGCCGTCGCCGCAGACGACGCCGCCGCCGCCGCCACCGCCTTCGCTGGGAGCCTCTCAGTCTCGTACAGATTCCACGGTTCCATGGCCGAGGACGGGACGGCGGAGGGTCGGGCCGGCGGAGGCGGTGGTGGTGGTGGTGGTGGTGGCGGCGGAGGTGGCGGAGAATTTAGCCGTGACCGTGTCCGGCAGCATCTCCCGACGGTTTGGCGATCGCTCGCTCGGAAATCGAATAAAATTTTTTTTGTCTGAGTCACACCACTACTGGTGGTGTTGGTGGTGGTGGTGTTGGTGGTGTTGGTGGTGGTGGTGGTGGTGTTGGTGGTGGTGGTGTTGGTGGTGGTGGTGCCCACCGCCGCCGCCGGTGGTGGTCGACGGAGGAGCCGGTGGTGAAACTCCTGTGACCGACGGGCAGAGGCGACGATGATCAGACTCAGGGGGAGGCTCCCGGTGTAACCGCCGCCCACGGCCACATCCGCTTTGGCGGACTGACTCGTCCGTTCCCTTCCCCCACCCACCCACCAACCCCAATATGATCATTGTTTTTTTAACCCTTTTATCTGGCAACAAAACTGACACCTTTGTTACAAGGAGCCATGTTTACATTGACCACAATACCTGCGGTCGGAACGCAAACAAAAAACAACAACGACTCTGATAATGTATGTGGCACTGTCCTTGAAATTGATTGGTCCACACCCGAGACAGCTTCCTTTAGAGCCTCGTCTCACGTTGGTGTTGGACCAGAAGACGCCAAAAGGCGTCACACAACTCAACAAAGACAATGCACCATCAGAGTATGAGAGCTAAGGGGTAAGCATTTACACAACATTGGAAACCTCATTTGCCAGTAACAAAATATGATAAAAGGGTATTTTGTTACTGGCAAAGGAGGTTTTTGGCGTCTTCTGGTCCAACACCAACGCGAGACGAGGCTCTATAAAGAAAGCTGTCTCGGGTGTGGACCAATCAGTTTCAAGGACAGTGCCACATACATTATCAGAGTTTGTTGTTGTTTTGTGTTTGCGTTCCAACCGCAGGTATTGTGGTCAATGTAAACATGGCTCCTTGTAAAAAAAAGGTGTCAGTTTTGTTGCCAGATAAAAGGGTAAAAACAACAATTATTCAATAATTATCTCAAGAAACGAGCAAACAAATGATAACAACAACCCGCCAGAGCCACACAACCCCCTTGGTGTCCGTCTGAAACGTCAAATCTGGCGAATAGCCACACGGGCCCGTGCCCACGTGCCGCCCCGTCTGCTTGAGGCCGAACAAATGCGTCGCTGCCGGCGGCGAAATCCCGAAATCCCGCGCGATCGCCCCCCTCTGCAGTACAGGAGTTGCAATATCCTGGCAGGCGGTTGGGCGGGGGTCGATCTGATTTTGATTGGCCGTGGTGCTGCTGTGATCCGCGTGGTGCGGCAGGAGTCACCAGAATTCACATCGCTCAGATGTAGATCATCGCCAGAATTCACATGTCTCAGATGTAGATCATCGCCTGAATTCACATGTCTCAGATGTAGATCATCGCCTGAATTCAAATCACTCAGATCGAGACCATCGCCAGAATTCACATCACTCAGATGTACACCATCACCAGAATTCACATCACTCAGATGTACACCATCACCACAATTCACATCACTCAGATGTACACCATCACCACAATTCACATCACTCAGATGTAGAACATCACCAGAATTCACATCACACAGATGTACACCATCACCACAATTGACATCACTCAGATGTACACCATCACCACAATTTACATCACTCAGATGTACACCGTCACCAGAATTCACATCACACAGATGTAGACCATCACCAGAATTCACATCACTCAGATGTACACCATCACCAGAATTCACATCACTCAGATGTACACCATCACCAGAATTCACATCACTCAGATGTACACCATCACCAGAATTCACATCACACAGATGTAGACCATCACCATAATTCACATCAAACAGATGTAGACCATCACCACAATTCACATCAAACAGATGTAGACCATCACCAGAATTCACATCACTCGGATGTAAACCGATCACCAGAATTCACATCACTCAGATGTAGACCCATTACCACAATTCACATCACTCAGATGTACACCATCACCACAATTCACATCACTCAGATGTACACCATCACCAGAATTCACATCACTCAGTTGTACACCATCACCAGAATTCACATCACACAGATGTACACCATCACCAGAATTCACATCACTCAGATGTACACCATCACCAGAATTCACATCACTCAGATGTACACCATCACCACAATTCACATCACTCAGATGTACACCATCACCAGAATTCACATCACTCAGATGTACACCATCACCAGAATTCACATCACTCAGATGTACACCATCACCAGAATTCACATCACACAGATGTAGACCATCACCAGAATTCACATCACTCAGATGTACACCATCACCAGAATTCACATCACTCAGATGTACACCATCACCAGAATTCACATCACTCAGATGTACACCATCACCAGAATTCACATCACACAGATGTAGACCATCACCAGAATTCACATCACTCAGATGTACACCATCACCAGAATTCACATCACTCAGATGTACACCATCACCAGAATTCACATCACACAGATGTAGACCATCACCAGAATTCACATCACTCAGATGTACACCATCACCAGAATTCACATCACTCAGATGTACACCATCACCAGAATTCACATCACACAGATGTAGACCATCACCATAATTCACATCAAACAGATGTAGACCATCACCACAATTCACATCAAACAGATGTAGACCATCACCAGAATTCACATCACTCGG